CCCCCCCCCCCTCCCCATGGCTTTTCTAATGGTCTGCCCCTAAATGAACATGAGATATATTTAGTTTTACACTCGCAGTTAAGGCCCATCCAGACCGAACGCGATTCGACAACGCGACGCGAATGTTCAGTTTTTAAAAACAAATAAAACCGTCAACGGATAAGAAGATGTGCATACCAAATAGCTAAATTAATTGGTTCCGAATATTTCGAAAAAAATGAAAAATATTGAAAATTCGCGTCGCGTTGCCAAATCGCGTTCGGTCTGTATTGGGCCTTTAAAATTGCAACTCGCGAGTCGGTACGTGTGCCCGAAACACTAGAGAACGATTTTCGCGTATTCCATTTTCGTAATATTCTGACACTGCAGATAGCAATGAAATTTTCCAGTTTGCTGATATCACTTAATTTTTATTGAAGGACAAGCTACAACTACTACCAGAGACTTGTCGAGTAACGAGGACACGAAAGCATTTTCTGAAAATAAAACTGCTGGTATGTATAGTACTAAAGGGGAGAAGTGGAGTTTTACAATATATTACACTTTATTACGTATTATGTAGCACTATGGAAGGCGGGATGATTTTGATGTATTGAAATAACTAACTAGGGAACTCAAATGTTGACGAGAAAATCTCGTAGTTAAAGAAAATTGATTAATCGATTACCGTTGTGAACTGACAAGCCCGCCAGAGAAAGTTAGGGAGACGGGGCAAATTTAATATTTGGGGCCCTAATGATTTTCTATCGTCAAATATTCTTGAAGTTATGTGCTCTTTTAAAGATTGATTTCCATATTCCTGAACTTTTAGGACAAGTAGCAAGATTATTTTCTTCGCGGTTTTGAATGTTTATATAACATTTTCAATGCGTATTCTATACTTAAATACTTCGGGGGGTCCGGGGGTGAATCTTCCCAGGGGAAATTTTGAAATCTAGAGAGAATGTTTAAATGTGGTTTTATGCATATATCTTACTTTATCCTTCTTTTGCCTCCCCCCCTCCCTCTGGGCGGCCCTAGCTGTTAACTCTACCTGAAACACGTTTTCTTGGCCGAATCTTTGGATTCTCGACTGCTCCCTGTAAATGAACTTTGAATTTTTCTAGAAGAAATTGTTTCCCAGAATGAAACATTCCATGACATGTTCGATGGCATTATGGACGAAGCTGACATGGATAGCGAACCGTCGTTTGATAAATTGTTTTCACAAATGAAACTCATGAAAGGTGGGTACTTTCAAGTTAAACTTGGCCATTTTCCTGTGGATTTCCATGTGGTTTCTTTACCCTTTTTACACTGTCTTTAGTTTTTGTAAAAATAGAGATGTCGTCAAATTTCGTCAGGCCAACTTTTAAATTCGTCTTTGAATATACACATTAGAATACTAGGATAGGATAAACTTCTTCAGGGTTCGTAGTCTCCAAGACCAAAAAAATTCAAAGACTTTCAAAGATTTTTTCTGCCTATTTTCAAAGACTTTTCAAAGGCCTTTGAGAGCAATCAGCTGTCGAAAAATTGCGGGTGTAAGCACCATTTTTACCTAGTAATTAGTCCCGTGAAATCACATCCTAAAATGCGCATTTTCGTCGATATTTGCGAAAATCTTGATTCAATCCATCTATTTTATTAGTTAGGAAATCGTATAATCAATTCCTCACTAAAGAATTTAAAGACTTTTAAAGACTTTCTTCGCTTTTTCACACAATTTGAAGACTTTTCAAAGACCTCAAAGACCTGCATTCCAATTTAAAGACTTTCAAGGATTTCAAAGACCGCTACGAACCCTGTTCTTGTTTATTTTATAGAAAAAGCAGAAAGCCTTCCACACTCAGAAAGAAAAGCTTATGCCGAGCAGGTGATTATCTTTCGTTGTGTTTTACAATAAAATTGTATTTACGAGCCCTTGGAGTTAAAGTTAATAATTAAATAAATGGACCGCTGGAGAGAACAGTTGAGAACTTTTGGATCCAGTATAAAGAAACCTCGCCTAGCTTATCGCATTTCAACATTTTCAGGTTGCTGTCGCATTTTGGAACGCTATTGGAGGCGACGAGGACGAAATCGAAGGTCTGGGACTGTTTCAAAAATGACACTGGAATGATTGAATGGAATTGTAAATAATGTAGCGTTCCCCGGAAGAAATGAAGAGTCAGAAAAGCGTCGAACAAGGATGAGAATTTGGAAACGTATGTACTTCGTTGTGTGGCTATATATACCATACTTGTTGTGTGTACTGTACAATGCCGTAGTAGTTTTAAAATGATGGTTATCACCGAGAATGCCCTAGCTTAAGGGAAGCCTCGCAATCGATTTTGTTCACGAGAAACGTCACGTGGACGTTTGAGGGTGGGTTTTGCAGTGACGTTTCTCTGTAAAACATCATGGAAAATTTTTTGCGAAAGCCTTATGAACATTTGGGAATCATCTTTGCAGAATATAAAAAAGAAAACAACTTGATACAAATACCAGTCTATACATTTGTAATAATGGAAAATGATTATTGAGCCTGTGGACTAATTAGCTCATTATCCAGTGCTTTCGACGCTTTATCATGCATCTAAACCATAGTCGAACGACTACCATTGGGTCGTGTGCGGCTGGGATAAGACTCCCTAAAGTAATTTGAATTCAACTGTCTCGAAGACCGGTCAAATTCAATAGTAGAAAATTACCTTGTGTACTATAATTATAAGTAATATCATGAAATGAGGAGTATTAGTCATTAAACCACCCGCTCGACGAGGGTCATTTATTTTAATAAATGACCCGAGTCGAGCGGGTGGTTTAATGACTAATACTCCTCATTTCATGATATTACTTTGTAATTTTATTTTTGCGTGAATTTCACCCAAATCAGTGTTCAGACACTGTCAATGATGTCGGCGGAGCGTTATAAGACGATAACAATTAAATGTTTGTGTGTTTTTCAGTGCATAATTTTGTGATAATTTTGCTCAAACTTTCCAGGTGATGTGGT